TATATATATATATATATATATATAGTTTGTTTGTTTGTTTGTTTGTTTAGCAGGCCCAGGCCAGGTTTGAACCCACCAGCCCTGATGTATGTGGCTAGTCCCCCAACCACTGAGCTATAAGCACCAAGCTGCAAACCTCAGTTTTTAATGCTATACTATGTTGCATCTCTATACCTGAACTAGGCTCTTTTGCTCATACTTTATCTAATAAAATAGTTATTTTTAAGGATTTGTTGGATTTTGGAAAGGGAGGAGGAAGAGCTGCATTCTAATAAATCATATAGATGAAAAGTAAAACATTTCCTTTTGTCTTTATTGTCTATTAATATTGGGATCAGATTCTAGCCCTGTTCGAAATCTGCAATCTTTTGGCCCTGAGGAACCTGCTTATTCTACCAGAAGAGTGACCCGTAGTCAGCAGCAACCTACCCCTGTGACACCAAAAAAATATCCCCTTCGGCAGACTCGTTCATCTGGTTCGGAAACTGAGCAAGTGGTTGATTTTTCAGATAGAGGTGAGTAGATATGGTATGTCTTGGACCCATTACAGGGGATCTGGTTAATTTCTTTTTAAGGAAGTCTTGGGATCATTACAGTTAGATACTAATATTTTAGCTAGATGAGTACTGTGTGTGGTTCCTTTCTTGTGTCTTGCTGAGGACAATTTGATACTGGGGTATTCTTGAGGTCCAGGGTAGCTAGAGTAATAGGATAAAGAGACTGGAGCCTTCCCAACCAACTACAGATGTCTTGAGCTAGATTTTCTTGTAGTGATGCTTATTAGTCCATTTATCTCCAGATTTGTGAGTGGGAATAACCTTCATTAGGGGAATGTTAAGCTATTGAGATTGTGATTTACCAGCCCAAATAAGAGGCCTTAGAGCAGGGTTACACACTGCTGAGCTCCTTCTAGCCTATTCCCATGGTTGGCTGGTTTGCTTTCACAGTCTTTAAAATTTTTTCAATTTGTTGCCAATATTTGAAAATACAGAAATTTCATATAAAAACCAGGATTAATCATTTATTTTCAACAATGGAAAGATATGGGAACATTGGGTGGCCACTCACCCATAGTAATAATTGGCTGGAGCTGAATAGTGGTTGTCCCCTTTAGATAGACAATGAGCTGTCTATTTGGCCTTGCCTAGCCCCTGTAGGCATTTGGTTTGCACCCCCTGATTTAGAGTGTGGAATTTTAAGATTGGATTGTTAGACTGCTAGCAAGCTAACTCAAGAGTCTTAAGTCCATTTATACTCTCATACCAAGCCTGTTCAGTGTCATTCAGTGACAGCCGTTTTGTTTATCTTCTGTCCTATGTGTCTCCAATAAGGGAGGTGGAATGGTAATGTCTTTTAAGATTTAGTCCATCCAGTTTTGATTACTTATGATTAGAAACTTAGGAAAAAGATAAATAAGTGTTGCATATTAGGTAAATGCCAAATTTAATTTTAATCAGAATTTAAATTTACACAAAAGGAATGTATTAATGTCTCCTTATTTTCCATTTAGCTTTATAGCAGATGAGTAGCTAAAAGTTACTTGTTCAACCATAGAAGAAGGATCTGGGAAGCCCATAAACTCTTATGAATAATAAAATTCTATTTTGGGGGAGTTTTTTTTTGAGACAGAGTCTCACTTTGTCACCCTGGGTGGAGTGCTGTGGCTTCATAGCTGACAGCAACCTCAAATTCTTGGGCTCAAGCCATCCTCTTGCCTCAGCCTCCCAACTAACTGGCAGTACAGGCCCCTGCCACAACACCCAGCTATTTTTTTAGCAGTGGGGTCTTGAGAAGCTATTTTTTTAGCAATGGGGTCTCAAGATGGGATCTCGCTCTTGCTTAAGCTGGTCTCAAACTTGTGAGCTCAGGCTATCCACCCACCTTGGCCTCCCAGAGTGCTAGGATTACAGGCGTGATGAATAATAAACTTCTAAATAAATGAACTCCATTCATAAATTCTACCACTTGTTTTTGCTTTAGAAACTAAAAATACCGCTGATCATGATGAGTCACCACCTCGAACTCCAACTGGAAATGCACCTTCTTCTGAGTCTGACATAGACATCTCCAGCCCCAACGTGTCTCATGATGAGAGCATTGCCAAGGACATGTCCATCAAGGACTCAGGCAGCGATCTCTCTCATCGCCCTAAGCGCCGTCGTTTCCATGAAAGCTACAATTTCAATATGAAATGTCCTACACCAGGCTGTAACTCTCTAGGTTAGTGTGCCCAGCTTCATGACTCCCTTTGTTCTGTTCTTCTCTCTCCCTCTGGAATTAGGATCATCCATAAATGTTTGTGTTCTGTTGTGATCTGGCTTAGGTTCTTTATGTGCTCAGTAAGAATGAGTTGTCCACTTGATTAAAAGCATTTCCCTTATAGTAATAGATCTGGTTGCAAGGAAATTATGATGAAACCGTTTATCAAGAGCTTTTCAGAGTGAAAAATTCCCTTTTTTCCCAGCAAAAACAAAAAAAGACAACCAGTGATCTCCAAATGTCATTGTAAGGCACATAGTTCATGCTCATTGAAGACCAGTAGAGGATAAGCTTCTGGAGAATAGTGGTTGCATGGCCATTCCTATTAAGGAAATGAGAAAACAGATTTTTTTTTTTTTTTTTTGAGGCAAGGTCTCACTTTGTTACCCTTGGTAGAGTGCCGTGTCATCATAGCTCACAGCAACCTCAAGCTTCTGGGCTCAAGTGATTTTCTTGCCTCAGCCTCCCAAGTAGCTGGGACTATAGGGGCCTGCCACCCTACCTGGCTATATTTACAGATGAGGTTTTGCGCTTGCTCAGGCTGGTCTTGAACCTGTGAGCTAAGGCAATCCACCCTCCTCAGCCTCCCCAGAGTGCTGGGATTACAGGTGTGAGCCACTGCACCCTGCCTGAGAAAACAAATTTCTTTTTTCTTCCTCTTGCCTTAGCCTATCGAGTAGCTAGGACTACATGTGCCTGTCACAATGCCCAGCTATTTATTTTTTTTATTTTTTATTTTTTGTTGTAGTTGTTGTTTGGCAGGCCCTGGCCAGGTTCAAACCTGCCAGCTCCAGTGAATGTGGCCGGTGCCCTAACTGCTGAGCTACAGGTACCGGGCTGTAGCTTCTTATCAAGAGGCTGTGAAATTAATAAGAGTATACGTGTGATCCTGGCCTTCTGAAACTTCAGTAGTTTTAGGTCTTATGCAAGATGAAATAGTTCTTCTCTGATAAATATCTCATTGTTATCTTATGACTTTTACTTAAAGAAATACCTTAGGGATACTTGTAATGGTTTGAACCTTATTTGTGCTCCTTTGGTGAGCTGAGGTGCAGATGTTGGGCTTAAGCTTTTGTCTCCAATTGGAAGGCACTGATTGGAAGATAAGGGGCCTTTCACTCCTGGGGCTACTTCTCAAATTCAGCCTTTGTATGTCGCCATCAAGTTCAGAGAAAGGCAGAACCAGAGTAAGTTCTGCTTTTTAGGACGTTAATATATTTTCTATAGTATTTTGTTAATTTGGATCCTTGGTTTCAGCAGCAGTTTCTCAGATAATTTCAGTTAATAATTTCATCAAAATATATAAGTAGAGCAAAATTCTTTATTGCTCATCACTCAGAGAAGATAGTTATTTCAGGGCTGCATCAATTCCCTTGGGATAAATAATGAAAAACTAGGAATAGACAACATTGTGTAAGTATAAGAGCTGATGATTAATATGCCATACAGTAAGGTCAGGTACTGCCTCAGCTTCTGCTAGTCACAAATCATGCATTGCTAAATGGTTACTTTCATTTTATGTGCTGTGTGTAATCAGTCACTCCACAAATATTTATTGAATATTTGCCATGTGCTGGACACTTTTATAAGTTCCGGGTATGTTGCTATGAACGTATCAGATTTCCTGCCCTCCTAGAACTTACAGTCCAGGAAGGCAAACAGATACGTAATACATCATCAGGAGATTAAGTGCTGTGAAGGGAACTAAAGCAGGGAGGGCTGAAAGGTAGGATATTTCGTGTATGTATACGTATACATACATGTGGCTGGTTATACACATATATATGTGGTATATGTAACGTATGTGTAGTTGGTTAGGGAAAGCTACTCTGATATGGTGACATTTGAGCAGAGACTTGCCACTTGAGTGTTTGAGAATAAGCACTGCGGCAGAGGGAACCAAAAGTGCAAAGGCCATTGGGCAGGAGAATGCTTTAACCAGCCTGAAGAACACTTAGGAACCAGTGTGCCTGGGGCAGAGTGACCCGAATGAACTGGCCTGATTGTATTGTTATGCTCAGGACTTAGCCCTTAATGGAGTAGACCATGGGGTAAATATAAATATGTAGCATCAGATGACGATTCGCTTTGACTTTAGTTTTTGTATTGGAAGCTTGAAAAATACAAACACAAGTTTCCAAAATATTCTTGATCCTGTTCCACTCCTTATCTTAGCTAAAAATAAGAAAATAATTTACTTTTTAAAAATAATTTTACTATAAAAGTATTATGTGCTTGTGAAAAATTCAGACCCTAAAGAAGAGCTTGAAGTGCATTAAGTAAAAGTTCTCCTTTGCTCCCTGAACCATGGCCCAGGTACCCAACAACTGTTGGTAGTTTTTTTGTTTTTTTTGAGACAGAGTCTCACTTTGTCACCCTCGGTAGAGTGCCATGGTGTCACAGTTCACAGCAACCTCAAACTCTTGGGCTTACGCGATTCTCTTGCCTCAGCCTCCCGAGTATTTGGGACTACAGGCGTCCACCACAGTGCCCAGCTATTTTTTGGTTGTAGTTATCATTGTTATTTGGCAGTCCTGGGCTGGATTCAACCCCTCCAGCTCCTGTGTATGTGGCTGGCACCCTAGCCACTGAGCTACAGGCTCTGAGCCTGCTGGTAGTTTTTTATGAATGCTTCTCTAAGTTTCTGTTCATATATGAGCACACATATATGTACATATATTTCCTTTTTATTATGCATAAAAGGGAAAATACAATTGGATATGTATCTTGGATATTTTACATTATCAGCACCTAGAGCAGTGGTTCTCAACCTTCCTAATGCCTCAGCCCTTCAATATAGTTACTGTGGGTTGCAACCCACAGGTTGAAAAGTGCTGACTTAGAGGTTCATTTTTCAAAGGATAACAAAGAATTTCATTATATTGATACTTTATAAATTAAATTATCCCATATTGATTGATGTTTAGATAGTTTCTCATTTTTAGTTACTTTGAACAATACTGTGATGAGTAGCCTTGTATGTACATTTTTGGTGTCTTTCTGATGTCTTCTTGGATAAATTCATAGCTCTGGAATTGCTAATTGAATAGATTAGCTGCTACTTTTTTGTTTGAGACAGCATCACATTATGTCATCCTCAGTAGAGTGCAATGGCATCATAGCTCACAGCAACCTCAAACTCTTGGGCTTAAGTGATTCTCTTGCCTTTGCCTCCCAAGTAGCTGGGACTATAGGTACCCGCCGCAATGCCCAGCTATTTTTTTGTTTTTGTTGTTATTTAGCAGGCCCCGGCTGGGCTTGAACTCGCCAGCCCTGGTGCATGTGGGTGGTGCCTTAACCACTGAACTACAGGGGTTGAGCAGATCAGCTGCTACTTTTTAAACTTTTATTATAGATGCTTTAGATTGGTTTTAATTTACGTTTTATAAAAAAAGACATAACTTGAATAATTTAGGCAGAAGTTGTGGATACATAGTAGCTAAAAAGCAAGTCTTGATATAGCAGTGACACTACATTTTATACCTTGTGTTTGATCACTGAGGTTACTTATTTGTGTACAGGTTAATTATATGGATCTCTAAAATTGCATTTTTAACAATATAGTCCAAGCACTCTAGCCCTGATAACAGAGTAAGACCTTATCTCTCCCCCCAAAATACATATAGATATGTATTTTTTAGTGGGACTGTTTTTTTCCCTTTAAAGCTTACTCTGCAAATCATGTTGTATAAGCTTTTGCTTTTTAATGTAATTTTATTTCTTTTTTGAGACAGAGTCTCACTTTGTCACCCTCAGGAGAGTGCTGTGATGTCATAGCTCATAGCAACCTCAAACTCTTGAGCTTAGGAGATCCTCTTGTCTCAGCCTCCCAAGTAGCTGGGACTTCAGGTGCCTGCCACAACACCCGGCTCTTTGTAAAGATGGGGGTCTCACTCTAGCTCTGGCTGGTCTCCAACTCCTGAGCTCAGGCAATACACCCATCTCAGCCTCCCGGAGTGCTAGGATTATGGGTATGAGCTACCTCACCCAGCCCTGTGTAAACTTTTAAATCTCAGTTGTCATCTTTCCCTCAAATTAAATGTATTTTTTTTTAAATGAGAGAAAGGTGAAGATTTTTATAGACTTGTACTTCAACTTAGCTAACTTTATCTTTTTATCTCATTAGCATTTTCACATCAGCCTGTTTAATCTCAGGTGTTTTGTAAACATTTTGGTTGAAGAGATGTATAAAAAGAAAATAGTGCTCAGCTCCCTCTGTGTTTTCAAAAACATGGGAAAAATTGATGAATGAAAGAGATACCCCTTTAGATAAAATAAGCTTTCATATTGTTTTGTTTCTTCTTTTTTTTTTTTTGAGACAGAGCTTCAAGCTGTCCCTGTGGGTAGAGTGCTGTGGCATCACAGCTCACAGCAACCTCCAACTCCTGGGCTCAAGTGAGTCTCCTGCCTCTGCCTCCCAAGTAGCTGGGACCACAGGCACCAGGCTATTTTTTGGTTGCAGCCATTATTGTTGTTTGGCGGGTCGGGGCTGGATTCGAACCCGCCACCTTAGGTGTATGTGGCTGGCGCCTTAGCCACTTGAGCCACAGGTGCCGAGCCTTGTTTCTTTTTTTGAGACAGTCTCATTATGTTGCCCTCAGTAGAGTGCTATGGCATTACAGCTCACAACAGCAACTCTTGGGCTTAAGCGATTCTCTTGTCTCAGTCTCTAAAGTAGCTGGGACTACAGATACCCACTACAATGCCCGGCTATTTTTTTTTCATTGTTGTCATTGTTTAGCAGGGTTTCAACCTACCAGCCTCGGTGTATGTGGCTGGCACCATGACTACTGTTCTACGGGTGCCAAGCCAAGCTTTCATATTGTTATTGTTGATGTTTTACCCTCTTAAGACCTTGTATTAAGGGCCTATTTAAAAGTTTGATCTTAGAGGAAGCCTAAATCTTTGGGGTTTGTTGTTGTTGTTGTTGTTGTTGTTGTTGTTGTTGTTGCAGTTGTTTAGCTGGCCCGGGCTGGGTTTTTTTGATTGCAGTTGTGGCTAGCACCATAACCACTGCGCTACGAGTGCTGAGCCAAAGCCTAAATCTTTTTTTTGTTTGTTTGAGGCCGAGTCTTACTTTGTCAGCCCCGGTAGAGTGCTCTGGTGTCATAGCTCACAGCAACCTCTAACTCTTGGGCTCAAGAGATTCTCTTGCCTCAGCCTCCCAAGTAGCTGAGACTATAGGTGCCCGTCAAAACACCCAGCTCTTTTTAGAGATGGGGATCTCACTCTATGTCAGGCTGATTTTGAACCTGTAGGCCAGGGTAATCCACCCACCTTGGCCTCCCAGAGTGCTAGGATTACAGGCGTGAGCCACTGCTCTCAACCAAGAAGCCTGAATCTTTTTTTTTTTTTTTTTTTTTTGAGACAGAGCCTCAAGCTGTCCCCCTGGGTAGAGGGCCGTGGCTTTACAGCTCACAGCAACCTCCAACTCCTGGGCTCAAGCGAGTCTCCTGCCTCCACCTCCCAAGTAGCTGGGACCACAGGCGCCCGCCACAACGCCCGGCTATTTTTTGGTTGTAGCCGTCATTGTTGTTTGGCGGGTCCGGGCTGGGGATTCGAACCCGCCACCTTAGGTGTACGTGGCTGGCGCCTTAGCCGGTTGAGCTATAGGCGCCGAGCCGAAGCCTGAATCTTTAAACAAAACCCAGTCCTCTTTCCCCAAAAGTGAATATTTTATCTGGTTCAAAGTTATCATAATGTTTATTTGTGTGATAGAAAGGATCTTTTGTCCATTTTTCTTTTGATTATGCAAAGGAGTAAATCCAGATTGGATAGCATTTGCATAGTGAAAAGAAAAGTACACTTACTTTTACGTACGACTTGGTTAATTAAGTGAGCATAGGAGAATTACGTTCCACCAAAAGTGCTTGAGCCTGGGAGTTTAAAGTTACAGTGAGCTATGATCATGCTACTGTATTTTAATTTAGGCAACAGGATGAGACTCCATCTTTAAAATAAATCAATCTATGAATGAAAAAAATATATATGTAAAAGCATATATTCATTCCATTAAAGGAAAGTGTTCCTGCTTATAATTGTGTGTATTATAAATATACAACTTTTTCCATTTGGGGATTTGAGAAATATATCATTAAAATCAAAGGAACTATAGTTTGTATTGACTATACATAAGTATGTTTAAAGATTGCCAGATCCATCCTGGGGAACACAAGAATTTATGGTGGGTGTGAATTGTACCCCTAACCCTAACCAAGACTTAGCTGAGGTGGCTTCAATCTGATGAGACATACATTTGATAAAAATGATACAGCAAAAACCCCAGGTTCATTGAAGAGAAAAATACCACTATTCTAAGCTTGTCTTCTTTCTTGAGGTTAAGTTTTTCCTCCTTTAACAGGACACCTTACAGGAAAACATGAGAGACATTTCTCCATCTCAGGATGCCCACTCTATCATAATCTCTCAGCTGATGAATGCAAGGTAATTATGCCCTTATTTATTCAACATGTACTGACTGAGTGCTTACTGTTTTCCAGGTACTTTGCTAAACACTGGGGATACAGTGGTGAACAACCCGGGCAAGGTCCTTGTTCTTGCATTTAAGTGAGAGAAATACAAAAAAATAATTGATTGGGTTTTTTTAAAACACTAGCTAAATAGACATATAAAAGAATTATAATATACTTGATGAGTGCTTTGAAAGAAATTAACAAGGAGATTATCTACAAAATATTTGGAATATCAACCGCTGGTGTTTTGATAATTTCTGTTAAAAGTTGACTTCAAAGATTGTTAGGGACCTCTTCTGCTAAGGGCAAATTTGCATAAATATGTTACCTCAATATTTATGCATTAGGTTTTCTTCTTACAAATTTATGAAGTCATTCTGCCTTTTAAAAATTTTTCATAATTCTTTTTTCTCTGTCCATTTCTGCATCATACTTTTCCTTTTTGTTACTCTCAGTCACCTGTATTCTTGACTAATTGTTCTTTTAAATAATTGAAAAATAGAACTCCTGAATGACCTTTGGGATTTGGAGATAATGTATTTACGAGTGGAAGGTCAGATTCTATTTTGTATGTTTCTGCTATGAAGTATGGAACCAAAGAAATAATTATGAGATTGCAAGGGTTGGAAATGTTATTAATTAAATGGATTGCTTGAGTAATAATTGGACAGGTTATCCAAGCTAGTTAGACCAAAATATTATTATTGTTTTGTTGTTGATTTGCTAATGAGACCAGGGTCCCTGAGCCAATTTTATTCTTAGGAAAAGTAGATTCCCTAGCTAACATTAACTTTACTTGATTCAGGAATTTTTTCTCTTATTTACAAGTAGATCACAGGGGTGAAAGTTTATGTTTAGTCTTTTGGCAGAGTAGATACTTTGAATACTTACATGGATTTTTAGATCAGTGACTCTTTTATTTTTTTTTCATTTGAAATCTTTTTATAAGCAAGGCAGTTTCTTCTTTGTGTAAGAGTAAGTGGTAAATCTTTCCATTAGTCTGAGACCAGATCAAAACAGAAACAGCCCTGCCCACATCTGTATCCAAAACTGACAAGGTCTTAAGTATTTCTTTCTGTGAAAATAACTGTGATCTCTGCTTTTTGAGAGTTGTTCTTTACCATTTGTCTTTAAATATAACGATCGGATACTGTGGGTGGTTTTGCATAAAAATCTTCCTACCAGGCATGGTGGTAGCCCACTACTCAGGAGACTAAGGTGGGGATCATTTGAGCCCAGGAGCTTGAGGTCAGCCTGGGCAACATAGCAAGACCCCATCTCTTATTTAAAAAAATATTTCCTATGGTATAACTTTTAAAATTACTGTTATGTAGTGATATGAAAATTTACCTTAAGCAATTTATTTTAAGAAAAGAAAAATTTCAGTTTAGGGAATAAAATTCTGAAAAAAGAAACATTTCCATCCTGAATTTTTCTTTTTTTCTCTCTTCTCTGCGTAATCCATTTTTACTATTGGAACATGTGCTTGGAAGATCAGGAGAATTTCTGAAAGATGATATCTTTTTTATTACATTTACTATCCCAAATAGATGAAACTAATTCTTTCCATGTATAGTGTTTTTAAAGTTTTGCTAGTGTTTTTGAAGAACCTGCTTGCACCTAATTGTTCTTGAGTTTCCTGGGACACCGCTCTGATCAGATCAGTGATATTACCATTTTTATTCAGTCATATGTTTCTACGCCTACATGTGCCAATCACTATTACAGACATTTGAGGATTCAGTGAATAAGGTAAAATATTCAAGGAGCTTACATTCTCATGGGAGAACGTAACATAAACCTATAAATTAATAAGAATTTCATGCAGTAATAAATACTGTGTCTTAAAGAGTGATGTTTTTAGGGGATGAAGGGTGTTGTGCTACTTTTCCTATGGTGGTCAAGGAAGACCTTTCTGAAGAGTCGTCATTGGATCTGGGACATGAATAGGAGTAAACTCTTGGGTTTGGGAGACTGAAAGTAGGCTGTGTGGCTGCAGCACGGTGAGAAATAAGGAAGTAGGATCTAGGTCATAAATGGCCTTGTAGGCCTTGGTACAAGGAATGTGTTTTATTCTGTTGGTAGTAGGAAGCATTTGGAGAGCTTTAGCTGAGACATGATATGATCTCATAAATACTTGTTTTGGAAATGATGGCTTACTAATGTGGTGAATAAAGTGTGGGAGCAAGAGTAGTCACAGGGTAGGGTGATTGGAAGACTGTGAGGAAGATGGTGGCAGATGGTGGACTGGACTAGCTGAGTCAGTGGAGATGGTAAGAATAGGTTGGATTCAGTATGTATTTTAGATGGGAGCAACCTGTTAGACTTGCTGATGGGTTCAATGTGAAGTGTGAGAAAAGGGAAGAACCAGAGATGACATTCTGGGTTTTGACCTGATCAGCTGTTTACACAGTGTAAGTGGAGCAGACTTGTGAGCATTCTGTTTTGACCATTCCAAGTATTTTGGTATCACTGTTGATCCGATCAGTAATGGTGAAGTTGAATAGGCAGTTTGATATCAGTTCTTGATTCCCATATGATCAAGCAGACTGTTGAGAGCTGATATGATCATGTGACTACAGAATTACATTTCCTATGGACTTGAACCCAGGTTTTCTGATGTTTTCTTTGTACTTCCTTACTCTGTTCTTGTGCTTCCTCACACTGTTTCTTATTCATTGTACAGTGAAAAGAGTTCAGGTTCAGAGTCATCAGACTTAATTAAAATCTTAGCTTTACCACTGTTTAGCTGTGATCATTTCACTTCTCTGATTGTCAGTTAATGGCTGAGAAGGGAGAGTGTGAAGCTTGCCTTATCTTCCTTGTAGAGCTTGTGATAATTCAGCGTGAAGGCCTTTTGAAAGTAACAGTACAACATGAATTCAAGAGATTATCATTGTATTCTTGTGATTTAAGTAAACATAGTGTTAGAAGCAGGTGGATTTATTGACGCTGTTGATGGTTGCAGGTGAGAGCACAGAGCCGTGATAAGCAGATAGAAGAAAGGATGCTGTCCCACAGGCAAGATGACAACAACAGGCATGCAACCAGGCACCAGGTATGGGCCTTGTTAAAGCTCTGGCCATTTGAGATCCATGACTTGGATCTTCTTTGCCCCATTATTAGCCTTTGGAGTATCTGCGCCTCTTATTTCCTATAGTATGTCTAAGTAGCTGGTCTCAACCTCAGACATAAATTCAGAAATGTGTCTGTTTTTCAAATAGTAAATTTTCATAAGATAAACTTTCTACCTCATAAATAAAGGAAATCATGCTATCTATAATAATAGTAGTAGTAAGAGGTAATTATGATTATTTGAAAGATTATACTTGTTTCATTTCCTCATTTTGCATCTTTTTTTTTAACCCGTTGTACTTTGCCTTCAAACCTCTTAACTCTCTTGGCATGTTTCTAAGGCCACCAGTGACTCTTCCTTAGTATCTGATGCTTGTTAACTATAAATGTTTTTCTTCTGCTTTTCTCTTCCCTTGACTTCCAGGAAGCATCTTGGCTCTGTCCTAATTCTTCTCCCACTTCTCTGAACCTTGATGCCATGTTGATTGCATTTATCTTCCCTGAATGCCTTTGGTCTTTACTTTTTCTCTTTTCCTATCTGGAACTCTTTTCCTGTACCAAAAAGAAGTGATTGTATTTATCCTTCAAGGCCTTGTACATTTATCAGCTGTTGTCGGAATTCTTCCCAAATCTTCTCCTACCATTAATGAATTTCTTCCTCATTTATTCCAAGGGTAATGCTCTCAAAATGTTAGCCTTTGCCATGTATTACACATACTTCATCATCTTGGCGTCTGATATTGCAGTTAGATTTTAGGTGGATAGCAGAAGAAGCAAGGTGATGAGGAAGAAGTTTGGCTTTGGAGCTAAATAGATCTGGATTTAAATACTCTGATTTTGTCACTCTGTGTTGTCCTGGGCAGGCCAGCTAACCTTCCTGCACTTTATTTCCTTGTTATGAAGAAGGGGTGAATTATGCTTACCTGGCAGGGGAGTCAGCTAAATTACATATATAAAGTACCTATCCCCAGTGCTTGGCATGTAAAAAGCACTTCATAAGTGGTAAGTATATTTCATTGTCTATCTTAGGTTCTATTCTTATTAATTTTTTCTATTTCAGTATTTATTTTGGTATCACTGTTGATCAGATCAGTAAGCATTCAATAAATGTTTATTGACTTGGAATTATTATTTTATTCCTATTACTTTGTTTTTGTTTTTGTTGCCCTTGGTAGAGTGCCATGATGTCGTAGGTCACAGCAAACTCTTGGACTCAAGTGATCGTCTTGCCTCAGCCTCTTGAGGAACTGGGACTATAGGCACCTGCCACAATGCCCAACTATTTTTTTTAGAGATGGGGTCTTGCTCTGGCTCAGGCTGGTCTTGAACTTGTAAGCTCAAGTGATCCACCTACCTTGGCCTCCCAGAATGCTAGGATTACAGGTGTGAGCCACCGTGCCTGGCATATTTATTAAAATATGTTTGCATTCCTGGTGGCGCCTGTGGCTCAGTGAGTAGGGCACCAGCCCCATATACCGAGGGTGGCCAGTTTGAACCCTGCCCTGGCCAAACTGCAACAAAAAAATAGCCGGGCATTGTGGCAGGTACCTGTAGTCCCAGCTACTCAGGGGACTATAAGAGAATTGCCTAAGCCCAAGAGCTGGAGGTTGCTGTGACGCCATGGCAC